GGTTGATATATACAATTTCAAGCAATAAAACCTCTATAGGAGGTAGGGAGTAAAGCTTCTTCCTTCAGCTGGTGCAGCCGAAATAACAGAGCAACAGTGATGGTCGTTTCCCAATTGGGTGAATTTAAAATCTAAATATATATAACACACCCTTACCAATTACAAAAACAAATACTTCAATCAACGCAAACCCGAAAAATTAAGCACAACTAGCATCGCTTCCAATCCAATTAACGCAATCTTTTCTTTGGACATTTCCTCCTCCCTTGCCTACACTAGACCAACCAAACCAACATTCAATAATTCTAAGAAATCAAAGTCGTTGTAAAGAAGATGCAAAAAACAAAGTCGGAAAATGTAAAGATATATATATATTAAGCTGACTAACTGTTATTCTAGATTTAGGTCTTGGTAGATTAGATAGTTGCTCAAGAGAGGAGAACCACGACCACCACCACAGGAGGAGGAGAAGGAGGAGGCGGGGGTGCTTGCCAGCCGCCTCCGCCACCTCTCCCAATTTAGATACCTCTTCCTCTTCTGCCACCTCTTCTGCCGCCACTTGAGCCATGTATAGCAAAGAGGATAGCTTGAGCTTTTGATTAGCAAGTGCTGTTTCCTTTTGGTGAGAGTTAGCTAATTCTTTATCTGACCTAGATCTAGTTATAAGTTTAAACATCTTACCAGAGGAGATTGTTATAAATGACACCAAAACACTTAGACCCCAACCCAAGCAAATGAAATTGAAAGCAAAACAAGGATATCAAGCTATTGAAACATGTAAAGCTCATTCTTAAGGTATTCGGTATGGTACAGTATTGACCAATACCAAATACCTGGTACTGCTACCATACCATACTTCGTTGGTATGGTACGGTACGGTACCGAATATCTCCTCATTCCAAATGAAACGGTATGAAATCGTTATGGTACGGTATGGTTAGTGTACAGTTTCAGTATTTCGGCTTTAGATGCCCACCCCTAGTACCCGTTAGTGTTTGGTTGGGTGGTCATCTCATCCGAAAAATTCGTACACCGACCGTATTGTGTTGATAGTTTGGTTTGGTTTGTTTTATTTTTTATTTTTTATTTTTTACATCAGTTTGTATCAAAGTGTTTGGTTAAAAAATTGGGTAACAATAACTCTAATCCGATAGAAATCCGTACCGAACCAAACTAATGTATATGATCTATTTTTGGTTATAATGTATGTGTATATATAAAACACTACATGTATACGTAAGAAGTATACACATGCCTATAGTAAAGATATATATATATATATAGAGAGAGAGAGAGAGAGAGAGAGAGAGAGAGAGAGAGAGAGTCCCCTTTTATTGAGGGATCTCTCAAATAATTTTATTTGAGGGATATCATTTAGGGTCCCCTACGAATTTTTTTTCAATGATCCAAATCATCTATTTTTCACATCTTCATTAAGAGATCATCCTTACAAAAAATTATGCAAATTGAAAATGATTAAGGCATCTAATTGAGACCAAAAAAATCAATGAACATGATAATTCAAGAAAGTACTTAAATTTCAATAATTTAATTGAGTGGTCAAATGATATCGGATTCAAGCGATTTTTTGTAAAGATGATCTTTGAATGAATATCTACAAAATAGACAGTTTGGATTAGTGAAATACAATGTGAAGTGGGCCCTATATGGTGTCCCTCAAATAAGTTATTTGAGGAATCCCTCTCTCTCCTATATATATATATATATACACACACAAATATGTGTTAGAATATAAGCCTTTAATACTAATGTCTTGCATTAGTCATGGTGCTATATTCTATAGACGTTTCATTATTTAAGTACCCACATTTAAATATAAATATATGCAAGTATGAATTTGCCAACTTCTCACTAAAACCTTTGGAAATGATCCCTGGTAAAGAAGGGATCCCTAATTTGACATATCTTTGTCTATTGGGCATTTTCTTAAATGTTGAGTTGGAGTTTTTCAACTAGCATTAGTAAAAAATATTTTTATTCAAAATTTTTTGTTAAATGGTACTATCGGTCTACTAAATTAATTTGAACCAAATAAGCGGTTAAGCGATTCCAATGGTTAAATGTTCTAATGGTTGGTTAATGGAAGAGAAATTGGTCTACCGAAGGCTTGTTAACGGAAGAGCTCTTTACCGTTCCAAACCGATCCGTGCCCAGGCCTAGTGTTAGGTAAGCCATATGTGGTTAAAACTATGAAATATTTGACGGAATGACTAACGGATGTATGAAAATAGTAGAAAACTCAAATTTTGTGTACAAAGTTGATATATGAAAAAACCTTGATGTAATAAAGTCTAAATTTCGGCAAACTTTCGGGTAACAAAGTGAAATATATAAACTATAAAATTGTAAAAGACGTTAGAGATATGGAATATATATCATATACGTATGTGTTGTCACATCTTAAGAAACTACGAGCCCATCGCATTTATAAACATTTACACACCACCAGTACTTGCCACTGGCCCAAAAGCAGTAAGTTTTGACTTCTGAGAATAAATAATATTTACCTTTGTTTTGAATAAATAAATACAAGCATGTTGTGAATAAAAGCCTTGGTTTTTCTGTGAGGGATTGCTTAGCTTTCATTGTCTTATATATGTATTGACTTCACTGTCTTGTTCGCATCATATATGGCTTTCATATGTCTTTTATTGGTGATGGCCAGAGTGGAGTTGATGCTATTTTCTTTTCCTATGATTTTGGTTATGTGCTATTTAACACTTGAGATGTTTCATGTCCTTGCAGAATTGTATGAGAGGTTCCTTGGCCAAAGCCGGTGTTGTCTATGCCCCTGTTGAAGAAATTGGCAGCGAGGGTAGACTTCTGCGTGCTTGTCGTATCCTAGTTTTATAAGCATTCATTCTATTTCATTTCACAAAGGTTTGTGTTTGATGACAACAGATATTACCATTGTTGTGCTTCTGTACCTTTCTCTGAAACATGTGAATAGACTGATTCACGGACACTCAAGATGTACGTTTTCTTATCTCGGGTAGGAGACGATATGTATGTAATTAAGATAGGAAGTAAGCTTTGGTTAATAAATTCACTCTTGTTTTACTAGGTTTCAGACTGAAATCTGCAACTCCCATATTTTTGTAGATGGAAATATTATTATAGATGGAAAAGAATCATGATGCGTGAGCCGGCATAAGGAGTTAACGGTTTTGAATAAAATGATTGTGATATTATTTGGTTTCTATGAAGTTGTTGATTGGGTCACTGTTAACTGTTTACCCCATAAGATATTACTTGTTTAATTTATGTATTTGTTGCATTCATTCAAACTTATTGAGGATCATTTGCTCATCTTTCACAAAGGTTTGTGTTGGGATCGTGGTGGAAAAGAGATAAGCAAAGTGGCTGGTATCGTAGCAAAAAGCTCAGAACAAGTAATGCTGTATGGAGACTAGTCAGTACTACAACTTTGTATAATGATCTACACATTTTTGAACTTATGATTGATTGGTTTGGAAAAGAAGAAAAAAAAGTTGTTTATAGGCATTATGATTGGTTACGTACCATCCATATTTTAAACAGATTTATTGATGTGGATTTTGCTGAATGCTCAGTAAAGGTGACCACAGATGAGTTGGAATCTGATACACAAGTCCAAGAAGTGCACCGTTGCGCATCTACCATTATTTCAAGTGCTCAAAATGTCAGAGGTGTCTGCAAGAGTTAATATGAGATTGCAATCTGCATTTCCCATTTTTTTTCTGTTTCCTCTGATTCATGTACAATTAAACTTAGGTCATGTGAAATAGTTTTAAACCAAAAAGTGCTAATGAATAGTTTAAGAGTGCTACTAAACGAACCCTAAAATTAACTGAGTACACCCTACGATCTAAGTACACCCTAATGTTTAAATAAAAATGTAAAATTAACTAAGTACACCCTATTTAACTACCAAAAATACCCATGGTACACCCTCTTTAATTTTTAATCTTTTAAAGTATTTAAAATAAACAAATAAAGTAAAATAATAATAAAATAATATTTTAACAAAACTCTCTCTCTCTCTCTCTCTCTCTCTCTCTCTCCTGCTTCATCTTCTTCTTCTTTTATCTCTCTCCTGTGCGACCACCACCACCTGGTTTGTGTTATTGATTGTTTAAGTTTTATGCATACAAAAATCAATTGGGATCAATACACCGGGATCAATACACTTCTCCTGGATTCCGAGTTGTATGTTAAAAATTAAGTCAATTTGTTTGAAGGCATGGGTTCAAAAGCTCAAGCAGTAAAACAAAGATTTTAATTCTTAATTAAATATATTGTCTTCAATCTTTCGAGAGAGGTGTGGGTTTTCAATCTAATTTAGGGAGATTTGGTAGTTTGGGAATTTGGGGACAGCATATCTCAACTCGTCTCAGAGTGGGGTGAGTCGGGAAGGAGAGAGAGCTTTTTTTCTCTTTTTAAAATTTTATTTTATTTTTTGGTTTTAAATACTTTAAAAGATTAAAATTAAAGAGTTGACCATAGTTATAACAATGGACATGCGTCAAGTCTTAAGGATGGTGTACATATTGGGGTACACAATTCAATATATCCTTTTTGGTCATTTTATATTAGGGTAAATTAGTAATTCAATAAATAGTTTGATAGTAGGGTGTACTTAGTTAATTTTAGGGTTCGTTTAGCAGCACTCTAGTTTAAAACCAAAATTAAACTAAACTAAATACAACTTAGGTTATGTGTTCGAATCCTCTCGCCATATCACACTAGGTTTTAGTTTCCAAGTAATGTGCTGAATAAATTAAACGAGGGGTATATTTGGAAGTTTCTAAATCAAGTTTGGGTGTCCAAAGAAAATTGAAAAACTAGTATAGGCATCTGGAAAAACATGGGTGTCCATAGACGAAAATCGGGTGTTTAAAAAACCACTCAAAACAACATTATAACATTTTAGGAGGGAAGGTCGGTGTACGGCCCATTAGACTGGACCAAAGCCCAATAAAGTCGTTGGCCAAAGTCCGCGACGCCTTTAGACGACGGTCAATTTCTGCCGCGAACATCTTTTCCCCAATCTAACTAACGGTTATGTAGAAAACCTTAACACCGCTCAAAAATTAAAAAATCCTTCCATCACCTAATCGCTCAGTTAAATTGGTGAAGGTTAGTGGGAGTTAGAAGCTTTGATTTTTCTTCGCTCAGTTTTCGTTGCCTGCATTTTCTTGTTATGGTACTTTCGAATTTTAAATATTTATGAATCCTGATTTGTGTAAATTGCCTATTGCTAGGTAATTGTTCAACCCAGAAGTTCTGATAAAGAGACCCAGTTGAAGCCCTAGCTTTTCTGGTGGAAGGCAATTGACACCAATGTCGAATTTTCAGTCAACAATTGCAGGTTAGTCTTTTCCTGTAGATGAAATGGCACTTTTGTGTGTTCTGTATTTATATCATATCAATAAAGCCCCTTTATTTCTCACCAAAAAAAGACGAAAAAAAGAAAAAGAAATTAGGGTAGTTCATAGGGTTTTTCAAGTGAATTCAGTGTTGATTTTGAGACATTACAACTTACAAGTTCTAAGCTTTTCCTTATAAATTTTGCACTAGGTAATCTTATTGCATTTTGTGAGCACATCCAGTCTGCCTTGGTTAAGAATTTACAAATTTTCATTGAATAAAGTTGCAATAGTTCTCTATTTGCATTATTCTTCTAGTGTACTCTGAGTTCTTCTTTCTGCAGATTGTTTGTTTTTTTGCTTATAGTTCCTTTTAGAACAATTGCCCTGAATGAAACTGTAGGTGATCAGTCAATTGAAGAAAATGTGCATTGCACGTTTAATTGATGTCTATATATGTCTGTGGCTCCATTAACTTCAAGTTGGATATTGTGAAAAATATGGCATGCATGCATTGGATCAGCATTTGAGTTAGTTGTAGACTGGTAGTTGATTTTATCCTTTCTTTTTGATCGATGTGAACCATCAAATTGTTAGGGAAAAGGCTAATTTTCCAAACCAATAACCAACCATTCGACTATGATGATTGGCATTCATTTGAGATCCAATTCTGTATATTTAATGACATAGTTGTCTGGATAGTGTGAGGGTTTTGCCTAACATTTAGCCTGCTTGAAATGATTAATCTGACCATACCTGATCATGCTGAGTTTAGGAATATCTGGCATGACTAATCTCTCCATTTTGATGTTTCTTAGTTTAAACGTATTCTAGTTGAAAAGTTGACAACAATTCCAGAATTGTTAGTCCATATCCCAATGACTTTACCTTGATGAAAGGGATTTTCTGAAAAGACTTGCTTCTCCGATAGAACTGAATACCATGGTGGCTGGTTGATATAGGCTTTGCATAAAATTCTAACGTGTCATTTTAACTGGAGATAAATGATAACAATTTCTAAATTGTTGAGTAAACAATCACTTTGGTTTGATCTGTAAGTGTACTGGATAATGGTTTAATATTGCAGAGAGTAACAATGATCCACGGGCAAAAGTTTTTGCTCACCTAATCTCAAGTTTCAGCACTCATGAATCTAAATTTATTTAGGAGTTTAATTACTAAGAAGGGACAAATTGTGGTGGAGGATCTATTTTTGTTTTTGGAATCATATATTGCCTCAGTGTTATCCTTGGGCGTTCATTAATGAATTACATAGAATTGTTCAGAGACTCATCAAATCTATTCTTAAGTACATACTCCACAAAATGTCCATAGCATTTATTTCATTTCTGTTTAATCTATTCAGTTTTGCTTGGCTCCACTTGGTGGTAGCTTTTCACCTGACTTCCAAGACCACCATCTCATCTACTCTTCAATAGCTAACTGCCACTCAAGGGTTGGATAGGAAGTCTGCTTTCTCTGCAGGATCTTATGAGCTTCATGCTAGTTGTGCTAAGATTGAGTGGCGTGGCATCCTTATTTGACCCAATTTTCAATGAGATCACATCCCAAGGTGGATGGTCTTTTTACGTGTCATGGAGTGTATGCCGCCATGCGAATTGCGTGTCGTGTTAGTTTTTATTTTTTATTTTTTATTTTGTAGTACGAGGGTAGGGGAGGTTCGAACTTGGAACCTCTTCCAACATTGGGAAGAGAAATACGAACAAACCAAGAGCTACTTGGTGCATGTCGTGCTATATTTGCTTTGGTGATCTGAAATTTATGACTAAATGCCATTTTATTAGTCTTAGGTGACTTAAATTACTATATTGGAAGATGTTCATGGATGTTCTGAGCAAGTTCTTTTTTATGAATGATAGTCTTGAGCCTAGGAATTGTTGGACCGTAGAATTCCATATGATGGCGACAGTTAGGCGATTTAGCTGTATTTCTTTGATTTTACTAAAATCTATTACCATTTTTCCAAGGTGGCTCATATCCGGTTTAACAACATGTGGTGATTGTTTAATGAAATTCAACCTGATTTGGAACATGTTTACAGTGTAAAACATCTACTGGCTGCCATCTTTGATATATTATCTTTTTTATGGAGACTAATTTCTATGATTATTCTCTTCTTCTTCCAGTGACATATGCCATTGCATGATGAAAAGAAGCATCTTTTAGTCTTTGAGTTTTCATAAAGTGAATGAGATAATGATATTTAAGCAGGAAATGGAATAATTAATCTCTATGGTAATTTGTATAATAAATGATGAGATGTTTATACAAGGAAGAAGTAAACCAAAGTTGAAGGAAACAGTGATTTGGAATAGTACATGGGATTGTTTATACTTTCTCTAAGCAAGTTTAATATTCTTCTTTGACAATCTTTTCTTTAATCTCCCTTTTGTTTGTATGGCTTTCCCTCTTTTCTTTTGAATCTTTTTGTAGACTGCATCATTTCAGGTCTTCCCCCACCTCAATTTTATCAAAGCTTCTTCATCTTTGGCTTGCTTTTCCAAATTGAAAAAACAAAGAAAAAAAAAAGAAAAGAAAATTGTGATTATATGTCGTGAGTGACACCAAAACTTGTTTCACAAGAAAGCCAAAATTACTTCAAATCAAAGGTAAAGCAAAGCAAAGCAAAGCCAAAGATGCCACTTTCTTGTGGGTTTTTTTGGTTTCTTCCTTTTATTTGCTTTCCTTAATGGATCTTAAAAAGGACAAGGCAGTGGAGGACGAAAGAGAGAGAGATAAAGTGGAGAGAGAGAAATCCCAAAAGGAACCTCAGGCCAATAAATACTGTTTTTTATTTGTTTGTATAAGAATCATGTGATTGCTACAAACTATCTACCATTCCAAACTACCAATATTGCAGAGGAGAATTGTAAGGACATGAAGGGCATTATATAATTTGATGATTTGAATTGCAGATGAGCTTAATCATAACCCATATGGCACCAAAACTATAATTATGGATTGTGATGGCTCATAATGGTGCTGGTGACTTTATTTTATTTTATTTGCTGGAAAAAAGAAAAGAAAAAAAAAGCCTGGAGCTTGAAATTTAATCAAGGTTTCTCTTATGCACAACCTAAAAGGTCAATGGGGTGTTGATGGAAGAAAAAAGAAAGCTACAAGCTCGCATTGTGATTTGTGAATTTTGATTGACTGCAGCAAACCAATGTTGTGTTGTGCTGTATGACAGCAAATATCAAGGACCAAAAGATCATCTACTTCAAGCTGCATGCCACCTAATATTTTATAAATAATGAATTCAGTCTGAAATTTGGGATATATCACTCAAGTACACTGCTAGCTCAACCCAAACTTAGTGGTTTTATTCCTTTATTTATTTATGAACTAGTAATTTTTTTTTTTTATAGTGGAATCTAATGTAAAACTAATTAAAGTATTACTATATCTTGCAAGGGGCTCGTAGTTCAAGTGATTAATACCAGTTACTCCTACATTTGAGATTATGTGTTCGGATCTTCCCTTAGCCAATATTGCTTATGGATAAAGAAAAAAAGTAGTACTTTACCTTTTAAATTGGAGTTACCAATTGTAAGAACTAATATTAAACTAAAGTGTGTTGGTCCTCAGGGACCAGAGCTTACCTTGTTGCTTAGGACTTTCGGTTTTCCCTTAATCCCTTGCAAAGTCTACTTTTCCTTTGTTTCTTCCAAAAGTTGTAGGGATAGAGGGAGTAACCCTTTTTTTTTTTTTTCCTTTTTTTTTTTTCACTTTTAATAAAAATAAAAGCAGTACGTATAACCAAAGAAGAAATCCTCCACAAACCCAAAATAACGATAAATTAAAATTTAAAAAAATCATTATAAATATATTTAAAAAATGCATTTATCATAATTTTCCTATTTCTTACTCGGTGGGCAAATGTCACTTTTCAAAACTTTAATAATATCATTATCTAATTGTAATAATTAGATTTTGATTGGAAAAAATTGATTTCTAAGGACAAAAAAATTGCATGCCTCATGTGAGAGAGTGTTGTCTATTTCCCATGAGGTCCAAGGGCATTTCAATTTACAAGATTAGGGCATTTGACCGAAGGACCGTTGTGTTCTTTCATCCATCCGTTCATCCGTCGATCCGTCTGGGATTTTGAAGTTGGGAAGTGTTTTTTTGTTTCTTAAGTAATTCGAAAAGCTTGGACCCAAATTCATTAATTGCATTCACTCCTTTCAACCTTTTAAATGACATAAAGACACAAACAAAATAAATAAAATATTCATATAATAAATAAATAAAAACAATTTAAAAAGGGCAACGAAAAAAAAGAGGATTGGATTTTGGATTGGATAGCACAAAAAAGCTCAGTCTACTAGCATCACCATGTGCTGGTTGTTCATGACTTATGACTGTAAGTTTTGACCTTTACTGTTCGTTAGCTGCAGCTTCTTTTCTTGTCTCCTTCTATGTGGCTTGGCTAAACCGAGCTCATGGCTCTTCTACTTTCTTTGTTCCTCCCTCCTACTCTCAACCAAAAAATTGTGACTTCTTAAAAGAAAACAATTAGTTAAGGTCGGCGGTTTTCACACTCTCATTTTATACAACTGCTACGAAGGGAGAACGCATGTAATTTTGGTTTTTAGGGAACAAAATTAGAAGAAAAAGACTTGAGATGTATATATAGCACCCTCTATATTATTTTGTTAAAGGTTTCTTCAAGTGATGAATATCTAATATTACCTAATTACCTTGTAAGACAAGTTGACATTATAGTATATATTTGGTGACAAGAAACGTTATTGTAGGTATATGAATGTATTAAAGAAAGGACTTAGATGATGACCATTAGGTGCTTCTTACTGGAATAAAGAAGAGCAACCATCTTTATAATATTGAGATTCTTGTAGTTCAAACAGGAGTGTAGAAGCTGAGTTAAGCTTGACGTTATGGAATTATTAATGGACATGTCATCCATTCTACCAGGAAATCGGGTCTTTAATCTCCTAGAAAGAACAAGCGCGACACAATATAAATGCGATCGGGAAATACAAAAGTAAACCAATCATACGACACAAGAATTGTCGATAAAGTTCATTCAATTTGAGCAACGCCTCGGATTGCTAGAGATTCATTCTTCACAACTCAAAAAGAGTTATTTGATCTATTTTATGCAATGCCCTCTTGAAAATTGTGGTTAACAAGGTAATTAGGTAGAGCAATTAATGTCATAAGATATCATAATAAGCAAGAGCTCTTTGGAGTCTTTAAAGTCTTATAAAATATTGAAGTTAAACCTTTTCTTGTTAAGTAAGAGAATTGAATCTAGAATAATCTTTTTTTAATCTCATAATGTTGGATGGTTATGAGCTATGATGGCACATGGAAAGATTTGAGGTTTGAAGACCTAAAAGAGGAGAAGTGTGAGCACCAAACTCCACCTAGCATCTACCACTTATATTTCTCTTTTGGGCATATTTATGCTCAAATGACAAGTGATGACTATTTTTTTTTCCAAGGAAATTGATTTGAGCTTGAGACCTAAAAGGGGAAAAATATGAGTCTCAAAGCCACAATAATTTAACACGTATATTACTTTCTCCTAGCTCATATTTGTTTTGAGAGAGCTAGTGGGATCCAATTTAAAACCCTTTCATGATTTCATCCTTCCTTGCTTGCCTTGTTGTGCCATTGAAAGTTGAATATACAGGAGATGGTGGTTGATTTGTCATTTTGGCGTCATAGATGAAAAAATAAATACATCCTTTTTTCTCGTTTACAAAGCAATGGAGGAGGAGATGGAATTCAAATGCAAGATAAACGGACACACTATTTTGGTTAACTAGTCTAAATAAATCTATAAAGGGTGAATTGTTTTATTAGTTCCTGAATTTAGACCTTATTTGCATTTAAGTACCTCAATTTCCAAAATGGTTCTCGTTTATGTTAACTTTTTCTGTTAAATACAGGGGCAAAATGGTATTTTTATATCAAAACAAAAAAACAGAATAAAAAATCATATCTTTAAAATAACAATAAAAGAAAATCAAATAAAAACCAAAACAAAAAACAAAAAAAATCAAGTTTGGGGGAGTAGAAATCGGGATAGAAGGGGAGAGAGAGAGTTTAATTTTAATTTTTTATTCATATTTTAATCAATTTTGATACAAAAATACCATTTTGCCCTTGCATTTAATAGAAAAGTTAACAAAATTGATGGCAGGACCATTTTTCCTAACGAAATTGAAGTTAATGGACCACGAGAACCATTTTGGAAAATGAGGTACTTAAATGCAAATAGGGTCTAAATTCGGGAACTAATAAAACGATTAACCCAATCTATAAATAAATTCAAATATATATGTGAGCCAGCCCACCCTAAAAGGCTCTTATAAGCCGCTAGCTAGCTAATATATGATGAAAGACAGGAAACAGAAAATACCGTTGAGGCGTTGGACTCAACCGCTTCAAGTCAAGGTAGTTGAGTTCTCTCACACTACAAACTTCCTCCTCTACAAAAGAATATCTAACAGTCAACCCCTACCAGCCTTCTCTCTCTCTCTCAAATCAAAATCCCTCACATCCCAACAGCAAAAAAAAAGAGAGAAAAAAAGCAACTCTTTCACTTCATTTTGTTATATATCCTTAAATCAGCTACACCCGCCCACCCCTCTCTCTCTCTCTCTCTCTCTCTCTCTCTCCTTGAGCTGCAGTTAGCTAGGTAGCCACCATTGGCATCCCATAAAACAAACCCGTTGGTCACAAGTTCTGGTAGAAAACTCTTAACATCTATATTATAGCATGCACCAAGCTTGCCATGGGCGTGGACATGTCTAACAATCCACCAACTTCTCGCACCAAGGACTTCTTTGCCTCCCCAGCCCTCTCCCTCAGCCTCGTACGTACCATTCATTCTTCTTCATAACCCTTTTCATTTCTTCTCATCCATTTCCTTTACATGTTTGTGTTAAATAACATTCTTTTTTGTTTTTTGTATTTGGGTTTTGAAGGCTGGGATTTTTCGTGATGCTGGAGAGGCGGCGGTGGCTAGCAGGGAAGTGGAGGAAGGAGACGAGGGCAGCGGAGGCGCAGGCAGTGTCCGTCGGAGAGAAGACACGGCAGAGATTAGTAGTGAGAACTCGGGGCCCGCGAGGTCAAGATCGGAAGATGAATTCGATGGAGAAGGAGAGCATGATGAAGATGATGGTGATGGAGACAACAAGAATAAGAAGAAGAAGAGAAAGAAGTACCACAGGCACACCACTGAGCAAATCCGAGAAATGGAAGCGTAAATTCCCTATTCCCTCTCTTTTTCGTTTTTTTCTATTTGTTACGTTTACAATACAAGCGATATTAAGATAGAGAATCGAGCACAACACCCAAGTGCAAAGTTAATCGTATGAACTTCAAGTCCTTCTTTCTTTTCTTCAATTTAGCTCTTTTATTTCAAATTTTACACTTAATTCATAGTAGAGTTTTTATTTTTTTTTTCTTTTCAAAATTCCATATTTTGTTGGAAATTGGATATGACTTATTGGAATTTGAATAATGCACATGGTTTTGGAATTGGTCGGCGTTAATTCTTTTTAGTTTTCATGCCACACAAGGCATGCAGCTTTATGAACAAAAAAGATAACTTTATCATGTACGATGTACTACAAAGATTCAAAGATGACTCAATCTTTTAAATAACTCCCCTTTTTGCTCTTTGTTTTATATGCAAGTAGTTATCTCTCTCTACAGCAAAGAAGAAAACTAAAATCACTGATTAATTTCCTTAATCCAAATTAGTTGATTTCAATTACAATTAATCAGTATGATCAACATGCAATGTGTTCCTATATTGTGCATGAACATCCTGCCTCTTACATGATGAAACTTTTGCAGGCTATTCAAAGAGTCACCCCATCCAGATGAGAAGCAGAGGCAGCAGCTGAGCAAGCAATTAGGCCTTGCTCCAAGGCAGGTCAAGTTTTGGTTCCAAAATCGTCGAACCCAGATCAAGGTACTTAATTTCGTTTTCTGATCATTTCTATTGACAGTGTTGCTTCTTGTTCTTTTAAATAATTTGTAATGAAGAATGGGATGGTTGGTTCTTTTTCACAGGCCATACAAGAGCGCCATGAGAACTCTTTGTTGAAAGGAGAAATGGAGAAACTCAGAGATGAAAACAAGGCAATGAGGGAGCAAATAAACAAATCTTGTTGCCCCAACTGTGGCACTGCAACCACTAGCAGAGATGCCAGCCTCACGACCGAAGAGCAACAACTGCGAATCGAAAATGCCAGACTTAAATCCGAGGTTCGAATTTTGTAAAATGCTCAAGTTAATATCGTACATGTCACATGTTTGGAAGTGACTAAGTGGCTCCAATATATATAATGTAGGTTGAAAAACTCAGAGCCGCTCTTGTGAAAAATCCTCCTGGGACATCCTCTCCTTCATGTTCTTCTGGGCATGACCAGGAGAACAGAAGCTCTTTGGACTTCTATACTGGAATTTTTGGTCTAGAGAAGTCGAGGATTATGGAGATAGTGAATCAAGCTATGGAGGAGCTTAAGAAGATGGCCACTGCAGGGGAACCACTCTGGGTTCGGAGTGTGGAGACTGGCCGTGAAATACTTAACTATGATGAGTACATCAAAGAGTTCAACATTGAAATTCCTAGCAATGGAAGGCCGAAGAGATCCATCGAGGCCTCCAGAGAGACAGGGGTGGTGTTTGTGGATATGCCGCGGCTGGTTCAGAGTTTCATGGATGTGGTACACACTAGCACCTCTTGTATGCATGAAGCTGAAATCTTATATCATGCCAAGTCTTATTGGCTTGTAGGTACAAGAATTGCGAGCTAATAACTTTAATATTATTATTTTGATCTGCAGAATCAATGGAAGGAAATGTTTCCGTGCATGATCTCGAAGGCAGCCACTGTTGATGTTATCAGCAATGGCGAAGGAGACAATAGAAATGGTGCTGTACAGTTGGTAAGCTGCAGAATTGTGATATAAAATGCCCTTTTTTGTTTCCTTTTCTCAATAAACATAGAAACTCATTTTGTTTCATTCGGATGAGCTGCAAAGTTCGTTTTTGACATGAATATGTAAGATCAGCCTGCCTGCAGCATAGATCTAAGCCTTTTGCAGATGTTTGATGGTTGAGTGTGGTTGCAGATGTTTGCAGAGCTTCAAATGCTTACACCCTTAGTTCCCACAAGAGAAGTGTACTTCGTTCGATGCTGCAAGCAACTGAGTGCTGAGCAATGGGCTATCGTCGATGTTTCGATTGACAAAGTTGAAGATAACATCGATGCATCGTTGGTGAAATGCAGAAAGCGTCCCTCTGGTTGCATCATTGAGGACAAATCAAATGGCCATTGCAAGGTATGTAGATATATTAGCAAATGTCAATCTTATAATCTTGTGTGCATAGAACATAATATTAGATCGGCATCCTTTGATGAGATTTTCAATTCATTCATTGACTGCATTTCAAGAACATAGACCCCCCGAGTGTGAATTTTCGGGACATCAGAATTTTAGATGAAGTACCAACATGAGTATTGGTTTTGTTTTGACAATTGACTTTGGCCAGGGAATGGAAAACTACACGAAAATGAAAACAGAAACACAGAGGTGAAAATGATAGAGCCATGCATAAATATTCAATGGTGCAAAACAAGGTTTATAATGATCTAATAATGGTCTACAGGTAATCTGGGTAGAACACTTAGAATGCCAGAAAAGCACAATTCAGACCATGTACCGCACCATTGTCAACAGCGGTCTAGCATTCGGTGCAAGACACTGGGTAGCGACACTGCAACTGCAATGCGAACGGCTCGTTTTCTTCATGGCAACCAATGTTCCTATGAAGGATTCAACTGGTATGTCCAAGTTAAGCAGACTTCAAATACATACAAGTGGCTGCATCAGGGTAAATAGTCTCTAATCAAATGCTTGATACTGATTACTGAATATTAGGTGTAGCCACCCTGGCTGGAAGAAAAAGCATATTAAAATTGGCACAAAGAATGACATGGAGTTTTTGTCGTGCAATCGGAGCATCAAGTTATCATACCTGGACTAAGATCTCAAGCAAGACAGGGGATGACATAAGGATTGCCTCCAGGAAGAACTTGAATGACCCAGGAGAACCTCTCGGCGTGATCTTGTGTGCAGTTTCTTCAGTATGGTTGCCTGTCTGTCCTTACGTCCTCTTCGATTTCTTAAGAGATGAGACTCGCAGGAATGAGGTTAGCAAAGATGGCTTTGTTTACAATACAACTCTACTTAACAATAATCATGTTAATTGTTAGGATAATTGTTTGACAGTTTTTCGCTCTCTAATTGCTAGTGGGACATTATGTTAAATGGAGGCCCAGCTCAAACAATTGCCAACCTATCCAAAGGACAAGATCGTGGCAATGCTGTTACTATCCAAGTGGGTTCTCCTTCTTCACGCACAAGTTAATAAGCCTCATATTTCTAATGCAAAATATTCATAATTTTTGCTAATATATATTGGAATTCCAATCTTTCAGACCATGAAATCAAAAGAGAACAGCATGTGGATACTGCAAGATACCTGCATAAATTCTTATGAGTCCATGGTGGTCTATGCTCCGGTGGATATCACCGGCATGCAGTCCGTGATGACCGGATGTGACGCAAGCAACATTGCCATATTGCCTTCCGGGTTCTCAATTCTTCCAGATGGGCTGGAGTCAAGGCCTATGGTCATCACTTCCAGGCAAGAAGACAGAAGCAGTGAAGGAGGAACTTTGCTGACAGCCGCATTTCAAGTCTTAACTAATTCCTCTCCTACAGCCAAACTAACTATGGAATCTGTGGAGTCTGTCAACACCCTTATATCATGTACCTTGAGAAATATTAAAACAAGCTTGCAGTGTGAGGATGGATGATCACCACAACTTTATTAATTAGCTAGACATAGTTAACAGTTAAACATAGGGTTTTCTTTCCATGGTGGTCTATGCTCCGGTGGATATCACCGGCATGCAGTCCGTGATGACCGGATGTGACGCAAGCAACATTGCCATATTGCCTTCCGGGTTCTCAATTCTTCCAGATGGGCTGGAGTCAAGGCCTATGGTCATCACTTCCAGGCAAGAAGACAGAAGCAGTGAAGGAGGAACTTTGCTGACAGCCGCATTTCAAGTCTTAACTAATTCCTCTCCTACAGCCAAACTAACTATGGAATCTGTGGAGTCTGTCAACACCCTTATATCATGTACCTTGAGAAATATTAAAACAAGCTTGCAGTGCGAGGATGGATGATCACCACAACTTTATTAATTAGCTAGACATAGTTAACATAGGGTTTTCTTTCTTCTTCTTTTTCGAATTACCAGTGGTTTTAGCATATGTTTTGTGAGTTTGTTTCATTCGTTTTGGTTGGAATGGGAGACTTGTACTGGAAGGCAAGTCTACGGCAGTATTCTGGCAAGATTTGATTTATAATCTTTATAGTTTTACAAGTTTCCATGTACAGAACTATTTATCAATGTGAAATTTGCTTAAAGTTAATTGGTATTGCATTCTTACCATCTGAAATGGTTCAGATAAGACCATACCATGCATTACAGCAGATAATATCCTGCAGAATGCCACACTAAAGCAAAGCAAAGTTGGCTTGCCTAAAAGAAACTCCATAGATTAACACTATCAGTCACCATGGTAAACCATCATTTACCTTAAGGTTAAAGAAAGTAGCACATGTTACAAGTCAGATATAATTTACTCCAGCTCTAACTCGCACTGAATTACTACTGAAAAATTGACCGCCTACATCATGCTGTCATGGAAGATGCAGCAGTCCCCACAAAGATGAGAGATTGGAGATACCCTTCTTTACTTATATCAACTGGCTCAATAAATTTTTTCTACATATAGACTTTCAGCATTATGATCATTCTTCACTGAATGGCAACACTTGAACTTTCCACAACAGGAATCACAAAAGACTCATTTGCAGCTACATCAGCAATTATGCACTTCATTGTCAGTCAATTTCATGCAATTTGTCAGAGTAAAAAAGAAAAAGGAATTAAAAGTTTTACTTCCAACTATTTCAGTCCCCTTTTATACTCCAGACTTCATACTTCAGTAATTAAGTATCAGCACTTCAAACATCCAATCTTTGTTTCAAATTCCATAAAATAGCATTTCCTGGACAAACAAACTTACAAGTTACATCTATTCAGCTTAATGAAACCAGCTAGTGGTTTGATGGCATCTCCTCAATACTTAGTCTCTATGTTTATCTCATATTTACCAGTCATGGCAAGTAAATAATCCAAAAATCAAATGTAGTAAAAACAGAACATGTTCTAGCAAAAGGTCCCAGCCTCACAAGGTTTCTAACTTGACAAGAATATAGCTTGGACTTGCTCATGGAAACACAAGTAACAACAACAATTAAGAGGAAAATCACCCCCTATGACTATAATAATCACTCCAATGCTAAATTTCTTCCAGTTGAGAAACCAAACCTGAAAACTAAATACATTGCAAATACTAACAACCACCACTTACGGGCATACTGTCAACCAACTGTTCCAAGTTCCTCCTGACAGCATAGGGTGATGATCAACTCCAAGGATTAGTGTCAGTTGCTCACTAGTAGTATTAACCAATGTGATTCAAGGTAATCAAAAGACCACTCTGATGGTAGTAACTCAAGAGAATACAGCTAGAGAAATCAGATAGTAGCAAAAGTTATAATTTTCCCCAAATAATAGACTAATACAAACTTCTTTTTGTGTCAAGAGCATATATCACCTTAAATTTACCCTGTAAAACACAATTACTCCAACCCAATAGGAGTACCAATTTCCACATTAAATTCAGCAAGCAAGCAATATTCTGTCATAGTTTTACAATGCATTTAAACCCACAAATGATCACATTCATGCCTTCTTTTACTCACATTCCTCACACTTGTTCCTACTCTCATGTATGCATTAATCCAAATTTACTGAATACTGCCTACATTAGATTTGAGGATTCATCCATTCTCAATCCAAACCAAATTCATGGAAAGCTAAATCCACACAATTTAATCTAGAAGTATAACGAAACCCATAACACCAGAATTAGAACAAAATCAGTTAAATAAGTTAAATAAGTTAATATGAAATCCATTACCAAAAACCCATTAAAATTACACTAATTCCAAGCAACAAAATCTTAAGCATTGAATCATTTTCGACCAAATTACACAAATTCTCATTCCAAATCACAAAATGAACAATCAAACAGCAACATGGACCTCACTCTAAACCTGCTGAGACTCCAAAGGAATCCCAAGCTCGTTGGACGCCTCTACTTCACCAGACTTGCTCTTCACATTCTTGGCAGGAAGCGGAACAGCAATGAAAGTCTTGGTCTTGCTAATGGGTCTGCTTTTTTCAAGCTGCACAACGTCCCCAACCTGGAACTGATTTTCTGGGTCGTGAGCCTGGTACTTCTTCTTCGTCCTCACCCTCCTCTTGTACTTCGGGTGTGGGGCCAAGCGAGTGACCTCAACGGCGACGGTCTTGTCGCTTGTGGAGCAGACGACTCGGCCTTGAAGGTACTTCAGGGCTCTGACGGGAGGGAGGAAAGAGTGGCGTTGTAGGGTTGGGAAGGAGAGAGAGGAAGTGGGTTTGGAGAGAGGAGAGAAAGGGGTGGAGGAGCCATGGAGGAATGGGGTGGAGAGCTTGGGAGAGAGGTGGAGAAGTGAAGCTGTGAGTGACATTTTCTTTGGTTTGATGTTTGAGTTTGGAGTTTTTGGGTAAAAAAAGGCAGGAAAGGATAAGAGGGATGGGATGAGGTGGTGTCTCTCTCCACTCTATCTTCTGGATTTGGGATATTAGGAATTTTGGGTTTCTCTATTGAATTTTTCTATGTACACCCATAAAAAATAAGAAAATGGTTTTTAAACCCCTAATTAAAACTCTCAACCGTAATGGGCTTGGATACTTTTATATGGTTGATTATTATCCAGAATTTGGCCGTCAATTCACACCCAAAGCCCTACATGAAAATGGGTCTAGTAAAGTTTCTGTTGATTTAGTCCCACATATATGCTGATCATGTGCTTATGCTTTGCTCGTTACAATTTAGTGAACATCAATGACAATGCTATCCCATGCCTCATTGTGTCTAGCTTGACTGAAATTGCCAACTCTCATGCCTGTTAACTTTTAATCCTTGAGGAGGATTAATTTGTACGGGTGCGATTATAAAATTCCCATATTTCTTTTGGCGTGAAATCTGGATCCATTGTAATTACTGCCCACCACATGTGTTTTGTTTTTGAGTATCTTCATGATGTTTTTAGTGATTTCATTAAATTGAAGAGGGTTGGGTCAAAGTGGTGCTATAATTGCCAATAAAGTAAAAAATAATTAAGATTATTCCTAAAAATATTATAGTAGTTAAGATTAATATAATGTGTGTTTTCAGTTCAAAATCAATTGGTAGTGGGTAAAAAGGTTTAATCTTATGATGATTCTTAAAAATATTAAGGCAAAGCTCTTCCATTTCCAATATAGGATAATACTCTCAACATGCCACTTCGCATATGGCGCCACTCGAACTAAACAGTGAACAACACATTATTAGGTGACGCACGTAATTGTTGGACTCAAAATGCAGATAATCTTCTATAATAACATTAGAATGTGAGCATCCAATCAATCATTTAAGCTATTAGGGCACAACTTCCATTTCGAACATGTAATAATACTCTCTACAAAGACTACGTGTTTTGTTTAAAGAAAATGTAATAACAATGTGGGATATCTCAACACTTTCGTAAAGTCTTGGCCTTTGAGAATATAATATACATATATATTATGTATATGTGCTATTTCTTCGGAACTACAATTAGTGAAAAGTTACAGGGAGAATTGCTTAAAATGGTTAATGGAATATTGATAAAGGAATTAAGTTCTAGTACTCAAGCTTTGGCACTTGCTGCGAAATCGGGCGAAGGAAAGGAATGCTTGCGTGAGGACTTGGGGGACGGAATATTTGATGACAGGAATTCTACGAAAGAAACTAGATTCTATTTCAGGGTTTATTATATAAGGAACCAAGATCGTCATTTACTCCCACACCCTTACAAGGAACCAACTTCTCCTCTCGCTCACAGGCCCTACATATTTTTGGTTTTTTGTGAATTGAAACTATGGATATGAGGAAATTTGAGGAAATGGAAGGAGATAGTGATGAGTACAGTGGTTGTTGACACCATAACTGACCAAGCAACTAGAAGACTAGAAGGAACTCTAAGCAAAGCAAGAGGAGTCCCACATCGGAAAACAACAAGAAGTGAAGGCTCCCTCTCACCTATAAAAGCATACCACTCTCCACTTAAGAGAGGATCCGAAACTGAGCTGGGTTCCCTCTTCAGGACTCTCCTATTAGTCTGGCCTCCGAGTCCTGGGTCTCCAGACCCGGGGACTTGACCCCTGGGCTCCAGACTCCAAACTTTGTACCTTAGACCCTAGGCCTTCTTCCATTTATCTTTGGGTCTAATCCCCTTGTACAAATGTAAACAATATCATAATGAGAACATCTTCTCTGTGGACGTAGCCCATTCATTAAGGGTGAACCACATATATCTTGTCTTTTGTATACTCATAAATTGGCCAAGTCCTCACATACATGCTGAAGGTCCAAACCTTCACCCATCATTCATCACACCTCATCACTAAGTTGGACTCAATCTTGGCCCAACCATTTTGAGCATCAACAGTGGTGATGATGGTGGCTATAGTGGCCATGGCGGCTATGGCGGTCATGGTGGCTATGGCGGCTATGGCGGTCATGGTGGCTATGGCGGCTATGGCGGTCATGGTGGCTATGGCAGCTATGGCGGTCATGGTGGCCAGTACATCCATGAACAAGAGCAGGAGGACGAGCAGTATCTGCAACAACCGAATCAGAGTTGGGGCCAGCCACCGAGGGGGAGGCCTTCTCGGGTGCCCAGAGTTTCTGCTTTTGTATCTCCAGTCTCGATGATCAAGTCTCCTACTCCTACTCCTACTCCTACTCCTACTCCTGGTATGGTTTTTCTTTTTTTCTTCTTCATTCTGTCTGGGCCCTTTTCTTGTGAAGCAAACTTGTACGTACACAGCCTTTTTCATATATCCATATTATAACACTTATTCATCTAAATTTAATCTGACAAAACTAATAGAATCATATAATATTTTTTTTTAAAGTTAAAAGCTTCACCATCTTACAAAGTTTAGGGAAACTTTTTAATTGTTGTGTTATATTATATTATATTATATTATATATTTATTAATTAAAAACAAATACATCACTTATCGGGCTGGGTTCGGGGTTTGCAGGGATGAAGATAACCAACGTTTCTGAGTATGAGGCAATTGCAAAGAAGAAATTGTCAAAGATGATCTATGACTACTATGCATCTGGTGCAGAGGACCAGTGGACTCTCAAGGAGAACCAAAATGCATTTTCCAGGATTTTGTAAGCTCTTCTTAAAAACTAGTTTTCTTTTTCTTGGTAGTTTGGGCTAGATTTCATTAAAACTCTCTATTGAAGCTCTTTGCTCAAGTTGTACTTCTTCTGTTTTGTTTCCAATGGAACAGGTTTCGGCCTCGTATTCTTATGGATGTACGTAATATAGACTTGGGAACAACTGTATTGGGTTTCAATATTTCAATGCCCATCATGATTGCTCCTACAGCAATGCAAAAGATGGCTCATCCTCAAGGTATAAGCCCCTCTTATTCATGCTTTCTGTGACATACTTCTTTATGTAAGTTGAATGAAAATAGAACAATAGGAATACATTCAAAGCTCTGTCCTTAAAAGTTTTTATATGTCAAGTTTTTCCTATAAAGCAGAGATGGCTAAAGTTAATTTTGTAATTCTCAATCAGGAGAGTGTGCAACGGCAAGAGCAGCAGCCGCAGCTGACACAATTATGGTTTGAATTCTGTTTTCCTATCACACTTTGTTTTTAAGTGTTGCCTTTGAGGTGCAAGCCTGCCTTGCTCTGTGGCTTTATCATCAGTGACTTGTATATGTATGTTGGTTGTTATAGACACTGTCCACTTTGGCTACTTCCAGTGTCGAAGAGGTTGCATCAACGGTTCCTGGCATTCGCTTTTTCCAACTCTATGTGAGTTTCAAATTCATCATCACTATTTTCTGCTACTGTATCCATGATTATATATTTCCTTGAAGGTTCTCATTTGTTTTGTGTTGTTAACTGTATCCATGATTGATGTTCTTCTTGTTCAGGTGTACAAAGACAGGAGGGTGGTTACAAAGCTTGTCAGCAGAGCTGAGAAGGCGGGTTTCAAGGCCATAGTTCTTACTGTGGACACTCCAAGGCTTGGGCGCAGGGAGGCTGATACCAAGAACGGGTGAGCATTCATTCAAGGATTTATTTGGAGATAAACAAACACACTTACTACAGAGATGTTAGGTTGTTTCAATACGCAGCCAAATCTCGGTTAAGGTTTTATATATCTTTTATAAGTTCATTTTGTGAAATGAGGTCCTAAAGATGTTTGATGGCTACTCAACAGATTTGTTTTGCCGCCAAATTTGAAATTGAAAAACTTAGAGGATTTGGATCTTGGAAAGATGGATAAGGTGGGTGACCTATATGACCTTAATAAAATCAGACAAATAACTTAGTATAGGTAACTTCATTTGACATATTCATTTAACGATTTGGTGATGAAATTCTAGACCAATGATTCTGGACTTGCCTCATATGTTGCTGCACAAATCGACCCGTCTCTCAGCTGGAAGGTAAAGATGGTTGCTTCAATATAAGATCATTCAAACAAAAAATCTGATTTAATAATTGAAATGATTCTCTTGGCCACATGCACAGGATGTAAAATGGCTTCAGACAATCACCAAATTACCAATTCTTTTAAAGGGTGTACTTACTGCTGAGGATGGTAAGTGACCAAATCCCTGACTCAGCATTCCAATACAAAACGAACTTCCCTGCTTTATCTGTTATCGGATATTTATGGCCAACTCACGATATGTCTGCTAACAATGCAGCAGGACTAGCGGTACAACATGGAGTTGCAGGAATTATTGTCTCCAATCATGGAGCTCGCCAGCTTGATTATGTCCCTGCAACTATCATGGTTTTGGAGGAGGTACCTTTGATTCTTTCATAAATATGATTTTATCGATTCGTTTAACGCTTATATTCTTGATACTTTAGCCATTCTGAATGCCAAGTAGTTCCCTTATCTTCGGTTCTTTATTTTGTCCCTTTTCTTTGGTGTATCATGAGATTATGATTTTGTTAAAATGACTTATAGGTCGTCAAAGTTGTACAAGGCCGAATTCCTGTGTTTATGGATGGTGGAGTGAGGAGAGGAACGGATGTTTTCAAGGCTCTAGCTCTTGGAGCATCTGGTGTATTTGTGAGTAAAACATATGTCACATAACACTTACATGAGAAATAAGATACTGCAACTCTGATCCATTTTATTACCGACAATTCTGAATTATATATTAAAGCAATGAATTTGAAACAATGCCTAATGTTCCAATTTCAGATTGGTAGACCAGTGTTGTTCGCATTAGCTGCTGATGGTGAAGCTGGTGTAAGGAAAGTACTTCAAATGCTTCGTGACGAGTTTGAGCTAACGATGTCATTAAGTGGATGCCGTTCGCTGAAGGAGATCAGCCGCGACCACATTGTGACTGAATGGGATCATCCTCGGATTGCATCCAGATTATAAGTAGGTCAGGATTCTTTACGTGCATTTGATTTAATGGACTGTCAGAAGTTTCCTGTCTTGAACCCCTTAAGGTTCAGAAAATATATTTGGGAACTCAACTTTCTATATTGGGAATTGTTGATAAAGTTCCCTAGGGGTCTATCAGATAATGCTTGTGTTAATAGTCTGTATTGATAATAATGCTGTGTTTCCTTTAGAAGTCCTGCTGTTATTGGACTTGTTATGTATATATTCCACTATGTACACACGTTAAATGTAATGTGAAAAGCTACAGTTTCTTCAAGAATCAATGGTGATCAATAAAGAGCCTTTACTTACTTCACTCTTGAAGCACCAAACAAGCGTCCAATAGTAAACAAAGTCCCAGCCAGTCTAAAGCTAAGAACCTCTTATCATAACACATGGGATAAATATCACATATCTCTACAGACGTTTACAAGATTATGAGACCTTATCAACAGCCCCTCACAAACTAAGCAGCCGGGAGGTGACAAGTTTGGACACCAGTAAGGAGAAACGAGCTTTAGACACAGCCCCTTTGTAAAAAAAAAATCAGCAATTTGGGCAGAAGGCGACAAAAACTGAACCCAATGACTCCCAGAAGCAACAAGTTCCCGAACAAAGTGATAATCCAAGGCAGTATGCTTCGTTCAAACGTGGCGCGGCTATACACTTTACATATAATAAAATATTATTTAAACGGTATAGCCGCGCGGCTATACGCTTTCAATAAATTCGGTGTAGCCAGGCGGCTATACTCTTTACATATATTAAATAAATTCGTATATTTATTAAGTATATGGGATCTTGAATTCCACTCTTAATGTAGTTGTTCTGTATGATGAGTAAAACATCTCATAAGTCCATAATGAATCAATTAGGCAATCAACCAACTTGATTTAAATATGAATTTCTAAATTTCTGGTATTTTCGATTCATATGGGCAACTTATGAGTGTTTAAATTATTTTAGCAAGATTTTATGATCAATAGGTTATGCGTCAACTCTTATAAAGAATTTCATTCTACACGCTTTTCATATTTTCTTTTATTAGAACTTAAAATACATAAAGAAGGATATATAATGTATATTTTTAAGAGTATAGCGGCTATACTCTTTAAATAAATTTGAATATTTAAAAAATATAGCCGGCCGGTTTTACTCTTTACATTTATTAAAATATTTAAAACATTAACTATGATCCTTCTTGAACAAATAAGCGGTTTTACTCTTTACATTTATGTTTTAATTTTTATTCTCTTTTAGTTAAAGCAACTATTCATTAATATTTTCATGCCTTCACACTGCCCTCCACCGATTGGTTTTTCATCATCGGCATAGTCCACAGTAAAAACCAATATAGGACTCCAGATCTATAACTTCTTATATTTGACCTAAAATATTGTGTTACTTTATATTAATAGGAAGACATAATTGGTATACTTGTATATGCAAAAAAAAACTCACGAATCATTCCCCTTTAATTGATAACATCAAGCTCATACACTATGCCTCAACTCCCATATAGGGCCAAAGAAATTCTCATGCCAAAAGTCTAAATTTTAAAGTTACCATTCGACAACATAAAGAGTAACAAAAATAAACTTCAAACCCTAAAATATACACTCATGAAGACTTGAATAAACTTCAAACCCTTCAAAAGCAAAAAATAACGGGTTGTTATCACAATTTAAAATTTTGCTGAAATAAAATAATGAATTCTAATTGAAAATAAGACTGAGTTCCAATCCAACATTGCATTCTTGTTTTTGTCTTCCAAAACTCCAAAAACAGGAATACAGAACATAAAGAGAAAAAGAATTACATGTTGTGGAGTTATGCATCTGCAAACCACATCTTACAGACTATCTATTCAATCTATCTAAGAAAACAAATGTTTGAGGCCTAAGAAAATATTTTGTAAGTTTCGGCTGATACAATAATTTGGCGTGCTCCTCCTATGGGTGAAAAACCTGCCAAAAGCACTCCTGTAATGATTGATATCTGAAATCAAGCACATATATAATATATAAGTATAATGCTTAGTTATTTTGACAATTTGCTAATAATGATAAAGAAAATGATAACTTGCAGCTAAAACAGATTAATTACTTAGGAGAGGGCGAGTCTACAACGGAGAGCGATTCTGCAGGTGAGGGCGAGTCTTGGACTGGCCTTTGAGACGACTTTCACTCACCTACACATACTCAATGATTCAATATTATGCTCATATGTAACACCAATTTTCATTATAATTCAACCCTAAAGATCTTACAAAAACCCAAACCATAGTCTAATACTAGTTGATATGATTCCCAGAGATAGAACCTCCTCCAAGATGTGATTTCCCTCCTTTGAAGGAGGTTTCACTCACCTCCAACCTTCAACATTAGTGGTTGAAAGTAGAATGAAAAGATCTTTCAAAGACAATTGAACTTATAACATTTCCTTGTGAAATTACTAAACTACTAAAATGCCACCCACTGCAGGCAAAATATTAATATGTGAAGGTTATCATGAATCGCTGGAGGAATTGCTAAACATCAAGTTTAATTTCCTCCAATAGCCCATTTAATAAAGGAAATCCTTGATACGTAAGAACTTTACATTTGTATTAATATTGTTCAATATAAACCTACAAGAGTTGCAGTACATACTATATTCAACATACAATAACTATCACAATCCCACATAAGTGATATTTAATTCAATTCTTGCGGAAAACAGACTTTGAAGAAAATGATCATATCATCATGATGAATAGTCTCTTCACCATGTGGTTGGCATTTCCTAACTACTATTCTTTTCTTTACTAAAAAAAAATAATGTTTTATTGATAAATTAACACTTTTTACACTAAATTTTCTCATATCATTATCAAAGTTTAGTTGAAAGCATACTATAAACTATTATTTCATAAAACTAAAATGGTCATAGTTGAGTGTGATGCTTTTTGGTCTCCGATTAATTAGCCACGTTTGATTAGTTTTGATCACATTATGAGAGCTACAGGGCATATTCTTCTTTCTACATGAGAGGAAGAAAGTTTATATATATTCGATAATGGTTCCACAACCCCTGCATTCCAACACTTTTCATCTTTGTTAAATCCTTCTCCACTAAAAAGATCAGTGCAATCAAGAAACAAATCATGTAACAAACGTTCAACATGTAACGACTGCATACCTGACACAATTAACCTTTCTACAGTTTGCCTACCTTTAATGTGATGTGGGAGGATAGTTTTCAATGTGAAGTGGTGCACAGGGCCTCAAAGGAACAATGGATCTCTTACACGGCTAGTTTGGGGGTTTGAGCTACCTAAATTATAATGAATGGCTCAATTCATCAAATTTCAGCTGCCAATAATGTTCTTTTACCTATTCAAAGCTATTCCGTGTGTGGTTTATGGCCATGAATGTGAAGATAGTGGAAAAGCGTAGTCTTCAAACCTCAATTAGACCCTTGTTGTTCCTTTTTGATGAGGTTTGAGGGGTCCAATTTTGCTTTGAAGATTTTAGAGGCCAACATCCTGCATAGATATTTTCCACATAGCATACTACACTTGTGGGAACTGGTTTTGGGGCCAATTTTTGACAAAACAATTTATTTGGGACATTGGTCTTGTTGCTGCACTTTGGCAATTTATGCTCTGCTGCTGCCATCCTTTTAGCACCTTTTACTGATGTTGTTGTCTTCAAAGGCTGCTATCTCACACTAGGGGTGGGCGTAGGGGTCATCATTTGGCCCACGGGCCCGTGGGCTGATGGGGACCCACCTGGCTCATCCAGAAAAAGCCTATAGCCCAGTTCGTTGTGGGCCATGGGTCGGCCCGGCTTGATATTTAGTGGGCTAGGCTTGAGCTTTAGACACAGGCCCGTGGGGACCCGCCTGGCCCATCCAGAAAAAGCCTATAGCCCAGTTCGTTGTGGGCCATGGGTCGGCCCGGCTTGATATTTAGTGGGCTAGGCTTGAGCTTTAGACACAGGCCCGTGGGGACCCGCCTGGCCCATCCAGAAAAAGCCTAGCCCAATCCGTTGTGGGCCATGGATCGGCCTAGCCCGATATTTAGTGGGCTAGACTTGGGCTTAGGTGTCTAAAGCCCAGCCTGGCTCATAGGCCTGGACCGTTTGAGCCCATGAAGGCCCAGCCTGCAAAGCCCATTAAGGCCCGACCCGTAGGCCCATATACACAAAGGGTTTCGAACCCCTACCACTTTCATCCCAATCAACAACTTATCCACCATGCCATAGACAACTTAATGATTATATGCTACACCATTTGATATTTATATATGCTTTTATCAAACAGCTTGCCACAACTGAATTTAAGTAATATCAATAATGTTGGAGCTACATCAAACTATGTCAACTTAGAAGGCACTTCTTCCATGTCCTTGTTTAGAGATTTACAGTGAAGAGAATGTCACAAGAGTTCATATGAATTTTTGTTGTATTTTTCTAAATTTTAATTTATGTATTGTGAATTTATGAAAAAAAAAAAATGAAGACATAAACATATAGATCAATGTAAATAGAGCACTATGAAAAAAAAAACAAAAAAACAAAAAAACAAAAAGGAAATGTAGAAACACACCAAAACATAAAAAACAAAGAATTGACCAAAAATAAATCAATATTAAAAAAAAATACAAAATAAAGTAGGCCCAATTCGGCCCTGCTCGATGGGCTTTTTCAAGCCTAACCCATGGGCCGAACTTGGACTTTGAATTTTTTTTTAAAACCCGACCCTACCCGGCCCTTTATTTTCTCTCTCCTCTTTAAAGCCCAGCCCAGCCTGGCCCAAGCCCATTAAATTTGAGCCGGGCTAGACGAGGCCTAGGTGGGCGTGATCCGGTTCGATTCAGTTTCTACCTCACACCGAAATTGGTACTATTCAATTGGTGTGGTTCGGTCTAATTTTGGATAAAAAAATTTATGAAATCAGTAGGTTCGATTTAAACCAATTACAATGTGGACCGAATGTTTTTTTGTATATTTTTCAACAAAAAAAAATTTATCACAAATTCCGACTAAAATTTATATTTTGGGCTTCAAAATTCACAAATGACCTAATTTCATGCAAAGAGAGATGATTGTGCCTAGAGAACATAGGTGCTTTGAAGTTGGACTTGGGGAATATTAGTTATGGGATTAGAACTTTAGCATTGGACTTAAATATTTAAAAAATACACAGTCGGTCTGATCCGGTCCAGTGTTGTAAGGTGTGAAACCAGTACTGAAATCGGTTTGATTTGGTCTGGTCCAGTTTGGTGTTGGTTTGTTGACTTTTTACTTAAC